AATTAGTGTTCTCTTTTTAATATTAACTCAACATGATAATTCAGTGAACAGTTTTCTTAAATTTATTCCAAGTTGATAGAAGTAAAATTACACCCTTCTTCAGTTAATATTAGAGAAAGAAAAAGAAGGAAATAAAAGTTAAAAATTAAGAATTTTCCACTTACAATTAGCGTTCTCTTTTTAATATTAACTCAACATGATAATTCAGTGAACAGTTTTCTTAAATTTATCCCAAGTTGATATAAATAAAATTACACCCCTCTTCAGTTAATATCAGAGAAAGAAAAAGAAGGAAATAAAAGTTAAAAATTAAGAAATTTCCACTTACAATTACTGTTCTCTGTTCGATATCAACTCGGTATAATAATTCTGTGAACAGTTTCTTTAAATTTATTCGATTAAATTTATTGATGGAAATGAAGTTACACTCTTCTATAGTTACACAGTCTTCAATTATCATCGGAAGTGAGAGAAAGAAAGATAGAAGGAAATAAGCAAAGAATCGTGAATCGTCCGTTGCCACAGAGAGCGATTTCCACGAAATATCCGCGCGACGATCCACAGGTTCATCGTTTCGGCATGAAAATTATCCGAGTTGCGCGTTCTACTTTTCAGCTGGCGGCCGTTTCGAGGTGGACGAGCGATCCGGCGTTGTACGCACCCGTGGGACCGATCTCTTTCAACTGGACATGGAGTACGTTCTGTACGTGAAAGCGGAGGATCAGAACGGCCGTATAGACGAGAGGCGTTTTCAGTCGACTCCTGAGGAACGTTTATCGATCGTAGGTGGAAAACGCGCGCCGCAGTTCTACATGACCGCGTACGAGGCTGAAATACCGGAAAACCAGAAGAAGGATTCCGAGTGAGTGAGAGAGAGAAGGATCCCTCTTTTCTTTTTCTCTTTTTTTCTTTTTTGCTGCGAGTAGCATTTTAATTATGATTTTCGACGAATGAACAGTCAGCTCTCTTTCTAGTTGAAATTAATTCGGAAACTCGAGACTCTGCGAGATCTGTTGAAATCGATCCTCTCGTAATTAAACTTGATTCTGTTTCGAGAGCTGGAGTTGGACAATTTCATATCGATCGCAGTGTACAAAAATATTCTCAGTTACGAGAACTCTCGTTTTAAGAATACTTAACATTTAAGAATTATTTCTGGTAGATCTAATCTACCTCTTCCTTTTGTCGAAAAGTTTCTCAGTGTGTATCGTTGATGGCGGCGTGAAATGACACTTTTTCTTATAGATTTCGATAGATTTTATAGCATCACGTTCCAGGATTATCGATCGATCGTACATCTGCTTATATATTTAAAAAGCAAAAAAAAACATTCTCTTACTAAACACTTGAAACGTGTGGCTACCTTTTCTCTCTATTTGAGTCAGAGTTCTTCGAATTTTTGTGCAGTTGAAACATTTTTTTTAATTGAATTCCCTCGAGGGAATTTGGAAACTATCTTCTAATTTCACGAGTTAATCTCCCATTTCAGTATCATATCGGTGAAGGCGAAATCGTTCGCCGATCGTGAAATTCGGTACACGCTGAAGGCGCAAGGGCAAGGTGCGGCGGGAACGTTCAACATTGGACCAACGACTGGCATTGTGAAGCTGGCGAAGGAATTAGATTTCGAGGATCTACGTCAACCGCACATTTATTCTCTCATTGTCACTGCCACGGAGGATTCCGGTGGTTTCTCCACGTCCGTCGAGGTAGTCAAGTTTCACTTCTTTTTTTTTTTTAATCGACAGTGAAGAGTAGGCCGAGTGAACCGAATGAACAATATTCTGAGAAACCAAGTTACAAGCGAGAGAAAATTCTTTTCATTTCTGTTATTTCAAGTCCACTCTTTCTAGTTTAAACAAATAAGCATAAACAATCGTGTTGAACACATTATTAATTTGTTAATAATTTCGCACTTTGAGAATCTGTCGTTTCAAATCAGCTATTTTCAAAGAAGTAAGTGTGAATAATCGTATTGAAAATATTAACTTGGTCGAATGCTTGTTAATTATTTCTCACTTTGGACTTGTTATCTCAAATTCGCTCTCTCTCTCTCTCTCTCTGATTTAGAAAGATAAGTAGAGACAATCGAAAATGTACTTGACTTTTTAATAATTTCTCACGTCGAATCTGTTGTTTCAAATCTGCTGTTAGTAATTTAGAAAAATAAGTAATTATTTAAATATAATAATTTATATATTATAATATTATTAATATAATTATTTAAATATTATAATATTTAATATTTTGTTAGTAATTAGAAAAATTATTTAAATATAATAATTTAAATATAATAATTTTGCTAGTATTTAGAAAAATTATTTAAATATGATATTTAATATTTTGTTAGTAATTAGAAAAATTAGTTAAATATAATAATTTAAATATAATAATTTTGTTAGTAGTTAGAAAAATTATTTAAATATAATATTAAATATTTTATTAGTAATTTAGAAAAATAAGTGTAAGTGAGTCGAAAATATCAACTTTATTCTATATAATTTCTCAGTTCGAACTTGTTATTTCAAACCGGCTCTTTCTAATTTGCAAGAATCAGTGCCAATAATCGTGCTGAAAATGTTAACTTGATTCTGACATATCTCAATGTCGAATCTATCCCTTTCAGTCTAGGAAAATAAATGAAGAAACAAATATGTGTGTGCAAAGAAGTAAGCGTTACGAATAAATGTCAACTCAATGCTGAAACTCTCGTGTAATTCATTTCAGTTGACCATACGAGTGTCGGACGTGAACGACAACGCGCCGAAATTCGAATTGCCCGACTACCAAGCGCACAACGTGGACGAGGACATATCGTTAGGAACGAGTATACTGAAAGTGAAAGCAACCGACGCGGACTCTGGCGCGAACGCGGAAATAGAGTATCTGGTGTCGGACGACCACTTCAGCGTGGACTCCAGTGGGCTTATCGTTAACAACAAACAGCTCGACGCGGACAACAACAACGCTTACTACGAGTTCATCGTCACCGCCAAAGACAAAGGTACATTTTGCTTCTGTTTCTCGATCTTTCACCAACGATCGCCGATTTTGAAACGAAATTTGGCGCGAACGTAGTTTTCAAAGAAACATTCGACCTGTATTTTCTTTTTTTTTTTATCGATGTTGAAGGGGTGAAAACTACCCTCAAAGTAGAAGTCACATCATTTTGTGAAATATCTCAGAAATTATTGAAGATACGTTTTGTGTAAATTGTTAATTTCTAAATTGAAAATTGGTGTTTACTAACGACGAATTTAATTCATATGTTTGATAAGTTTTTCCAAAGTAAGTGTCCAACAAATTTCCCTGAATATTTGTTCGTGAATACTATATGTTCAAACATTATATAGGGTGTTTCGTAACTTGTGGGACCCACTTCGGGAGCTGATTGTACGCCTAAAAATAATGAAAAAAAGTCATATAAATATANACGCGTGCAGGCTTGTCTTCAAATGCAAGCTGGTCATTTCGAGCATCTTTTGTAAAAGTAATTAAAACAGAAAATTCATTATATCTCATAAACGAAGATAGGACATATATATTTATAAGACTTTTTTCCATTATTTTTAGACGTACAATCAGCTCCAGAAGTTACATATGAAACACCCTGTATATTCATACATAATTCCAAAATAAAATGGAATCTTGATTTCTTTCATTCACAAAAGAATTCATCCTGAACGTGCAAAGCAGGCTGTACACTAGAATTGTGAAACGTGCTCGGCGACGTTGCTCGCTTGCATCTTTTGTAAAACGAGGGGATGAACTGATCTTGAATTTCTCATTTATATTCCGCAGTTGTAGCACGCGAGAGAGCGAGGAGAATCGACGACACTTTAATGAGTGGGTTCATCCCCTCCGAGATTCGATGAAACATCTCTCGTCGTTCGTGTTTTCGTTACCCGTCCCTCTAGATTCTTCTAGAAGACCCGAGTCTTTCCATATACATTTTCACGGATCTGTCTCCGAAACAAGGTGTGGTTCAGTTCATTGACAACGATCAATTATGTTTAACGGTGTTTGGACTCGTGGCTGTGCTAGTTGTGTGGTCGAGGTGTTCAATAACGAGATTCTGTTAACTCTTTGACTACAGGCAGACTTTGAGGGAATTCAGTCGCGATCTACACCGAGAACGGCAAAATTTTTCGTTAGGCTTGCATTTCTCAGAAGGTGTACTAAAGTAATCAAAACGCTGAGTTCCACTACATCAAACTAATATTATTTATTATTATATATTATATATTATATATTATATTATATATTATAGTATATTATAGTATAGTATAGTATATTATAGTATATTATTTATTATTAAATTATAGTATATTATAGTATAGTATAGTATATTATAGTATATTATTTATTATTAAATTATAGTATATTATTTATGTATTATTTATTATTATATGTTATAGTAAATTATAGTGTATTATTTATATATTATTTATTATTATATATTATACTAAATTATAGTACATTATTTATGTGTTATTTATTATTATATATTATACTAAATTATAGTATATTATTTATGTGTTATTTATTATTATATATTATACTAAATTATAGTATATTATTTATGTATTATTTATTACTATATATTATACTAAAAATTCAACATTAACATTACGCTTTTATAACAATCGTCAAGGAGATTTATGAATAATCGTTAGGGATATATACAACAGTCACTAAGGGGGTAAACAAAGGCAAAGTCGTTGTCAAGTAATTAAAAAAGATAGTTTGAGCATGGAGACGTTGTAATTTACATTTTACAAGAATATATATTTCGTTGCATACATCTTATTTAACATACGTTCTAAAAATAAACGTACGTAGTTATTCTTTCTATTTGTGATTGTATAATAATCGTATCTACAAAATATGAATATACACAACATGTATATCATTTGTTGTGTCACGTACTGCATGCACTTTCTCTGACCATTTTTATTCTCCCAGTTTTTCATTTCAACAATATAAAAAAGAAACAACTGTAGAATAAGCATGTTTAAATAATACACGACTAACGGAATACGCAATTGTCGAATTGATATTCACTTACGTCTGGTTCAAATTTGAGATTTGCTGGAATTATGGTCGATAAAATTTTTTCCGGGCGCCTATAGGCGCCTCTCGTGTCACGCCGATCAAGGTAGATTAAGCGCCTTTAGGCGCCTACAGTGGTCGCTAGACGACGAGACACTGTCTTGACATCGTGCGTTGCGATTTTTCAGGCGAGCCACCGAAAACCGGGACGGCGACGGTGCGCATATACACGAAGAACAAGAACGACGAGGAGCCGAAGTTCTCGCAGCAGGTGTACACGCCGAACGTGGACGAGAACGCCGGGCCCAACACGCTGGTGACGACCGTCGTCGCGTCCGACAAGGACGGCGACAACGTTCGGTTCCGTTTCGTCGGCGGCAACACGACGTCCGGCCAGTTCGTGATCGAGGAGATCACCGGCGTGATCCGTTTGCACGGGAAGGAGATCTCGTTGGACAGGGACAAGTACGAGCTGAACGTGACTGCCCTCGACGACGGTGCTTGTTGCCCGAACGGGGAGACGACGACCCACACAAGCACCGCGGTTGTCGTCGTGTTCATCACCGACGTGAACGACAACAAGCCGGTGTTCAAGGAGTGCAGCATGTACAACCCGAAGGTGGAGGAGGGCGCGCCGAATGGCAGCACCGTGATCAAGGTTCAGGCGACCGACGAGGACAAAGGCGTGAACGGGCAGGTGAAATACTCGATCGTTCAGCAACCGAACCAGAAGGGCACCAAGTTCACCGTCGACGAGGAGACTGGACAAGTTTTGACGAATAAGGTACCCTCGAGTAATAATATAAATTTCGTCTAATATGTAAATATATTGAAAAAAAAAAAAAAAATAATAATAAAATGATGCTCCGTTTATGTGAATTAAACGAATTGATCATCCTGAATTTACATCGTTTATGATATGTGAAATTCTTATGAAAGTTAAATTAATATTTGGACAATAATGTATATAAGATAAAAATAATACTGAAATAATTTGAATTATTAAAAAAATATATAATTAATATTTATTGGTGTTGCAAGATAAACGAATGATAATGGAATATTTATTATGATATTTTTATGAATTAATATTTTAAATTTTTGTTTCATTGTTATAATAATTTTACTTCGTAAAGTTTTTTTTTATGTAACAAATTTTTGATGAAATTAATAATATTGAAATTATAAATAAAATAATTAATAAAAGAATAAAATAATTTGGAAAATAAAATGATTTTATTATTGAATAATTAAAATTATCATTAATAATTTTAAAATTTTTTATTACAAGTTGATAATTAATTTTTAAATAATAAAATATAATTATATAAATTAATAAATATATAGTAAAATAATAAAATTTAAATTTATTTCTTATAATTTTTTGTAAATTAATTAAACAAATGAAACAAGAAAATGAAATTATTATTCCTCTAATTATAATAATATATAAATTATATATAAAAATAATAATAATTTTGCTTTTATTAAATATACATTAATTGAGATAAATAATGAAAGAGAAATAAAATAAATTAATTGATTTAAAAGATTAAAATAAACTTTAAGTAATAATAAATTTATTTAAAGAATTAAAATAATAAATGAATTTAATATGATTATATATGAAAATAAATAAATATAGATATTAATAAAAATTTTTATTATATATATATATATAATATTACATTTTTAAATATAATTATAAAAATTTTTTTATATTGTAAATATAATGTTTTAAATAAACTATATATTGGTTTTATTAAATATACATTAATTGGTGCAAAAGCATTTTGTGGGTCGAGGGAGATGTTTACCTGTAAAGTCAAATTAATGTAGTGACGTTTTATATTCATTGTAATATTGGTGTAATATTATGTTATGCAACACCAAATTACAGTATATATATGTATAAGTTTTAAATGGATACAGTTGAAGTGGTAGTAGACGTCAGAAGTTGAAGTAACTTTGGTATTTTCAGGTATTTGATCGTGAAGGAGATGACGGGAAATTTGTATCAGTTACCGTTAAAGCAACGGATCAAGGTGAACCTTCATTGGAAGGTGTTTGCTCCTTCACTGTTGAAATCACCGATGTTAACGACAACCCACCACTGTTCGATCGTCAGGTGAGTAAAACTGTGCAAACGTTGCAAATCGCATACGTGACTCGTGGATCGTTAACAAAACAATTATTCTAGAAAGAGAACCTAGTCTTACATAATAAAAATCGCAGTCAAATTAAAATAGTTCACGCGCCAATGGAACGCTAATCTTGATGGTACTTACAAGTACCGCTTCGTACAAAGGCTTGAATTATTTTAATGTAACGATTGTTCGTTAAGTAATTCGAGGGACATGTAAACTGGACGTTTGTGAATTATTGGAAAAGAACGTGGGAATGTTTCATGCTTTTTGGTTTGTCACATTAACAAACGTAGTACAATAGAGCCTCCCACATGTGAATATCTATTTCTTAAATAATCATCTTGATACTCAAGTATTATTGTAGAGCAGAACAAAATATTTGTTGCTAGTTGGAAACAGACGTTCCGTTCTAGTAATAATAAATGTTTGAACATTATAAGATAAATTTTAAAAATAGGGAAGATTTATCTTCCTTTTTTCTTAAAAGGATTTTATAACTTGCCAAAACAGTCATCTAACAGCACAGAAATGTCATAGTTAACTAAGACGTAAAGAGGCATAAATTAAAAAGAAAAAAAGAAACAGTGAGAAAAACAAAAATAATTTTCACACATGTAAAGTGTAATCTGCTTGTGTACATATTAAATATTGAATTTTATATTAATACGTAGAACGCACAAATGTCTATGTCCATTTTCCAAGATTTTTAATTATTCAAACGATGACGTACAAGCAAGAAATATAAAAGGCTACGGTGCCGATACCTCAATCAGTCGTCGAGGTATGAAATTTTAAAAATCACGTTCACAACGGCCCCCGTTTATCGAATAGTTCATTCAGGCGCGACCTACTTTTCTCCGTGGAAGTGTGTACGTTGGACGTAGTACGTGTAGCAAGAAAAAAAAAGAAAGAAAAAAGAAAAAAAATCGCTGAATCAACGTCAATGATCACCGACACGACACAGGTGTTTCGGGTAGGTCAGTGGCGACGTCCGAGCGTGTGAGCGAGGGCGAAACAGTCGAAATTTAAAGCCCCTGTTTAAATATACCCGTAACGAGACGTATCGATTCGAGAAAGAAACCGTTTTTAAAGGGGAGATTATCCCGATAGATTATCTGATACCTGAAACACAATCGCCTCGTTGACGCGTGTAACAAAGTTTACATTAAGATATTTCCTTTCGACCCATCTTTTTCGGGCCATATTGATTCATATTGTGGCCAATGAATTGCTCTTAATTTTCGTTAAAAAGAAAAAAAGAAAAGAAATGAAATCCGTGATATTGAATGAATGATCAGCAAATCTTTGATCGATGAAAGTATATTTAGTATGTATATATATATATCTAATTTACGACGCGATTGATTTGGAGTCAAAATATAAATTTTAATCAATAATATATATGTATATAATTTATATATACAATACAATTATATATATTTCTATTTTTACTCCTTTTTATTAATTTATATATATTATATAATTAATATTAATTATTTTTATCCCTTTTTATTAATTAAAATTTACATATATTATATTTTTATATTATATATATATATATATATTATATATTATATTTTAATTATTTTCATTCCCTTTTATTAATTAAAATTTATATATATTATACTTTTATATTTTATATATATATATATATATTATATTTTAATTATTTTTATTCCTTTTTATTAATTAAAATTTATACACATTATATAGTATATATAAATTTTAATTAATAAAGAGGAGTAAGAATAGAAATTTTAATCAAGTTCATTTTAGAAATTGAGAAAACCAAAGACACTGTCGTTTGAGTCTAAAAGGTATTTTGTAATTTTGATAAAAATTATCGAGCCATGGATTAGAGGTAAATGAACGTGCCTCTAATTTTTTTGTTTTGGCACGCAAGATAGTATTGATGTGTACAAAGGAAGTACATGTGTTAACGACGCGAGCACATTTGATCTTTTCGTTTCATTTGCATTCGCGGCGTGTCTCATTCGGACAATTTCCTGATACTCATCGGCAAAGTGAAGTATCACATCGTCAGCGGACAAGAGGCGCGGGTGACCGAGCTGAAAAAAGAAGAAGAAGAAGAAAAAAAGAAAAAAACTAACAGAGAGAAAATTGCCTTTCGCGCCCATTTGACGCCTTTTGAAATTCATGCGGCGGCCGCGTTGGTACACAAAAAGGGACGTATTTGAAAGAAAATGCAAAAGACGCTCGGCCGAGGCTCGTTTCGCGCTTTGTGCGCTGAAATAACTGTTTGGAATAAATTAACCGACTCTCGTCCGAAACAAACGAGAGAGAGAGAGAGAGAGAGAGGCAACCTCTCGTCGTGGTTTGCATATTATTTGTTCGTCATACGTCAGTTTCTCTCTTTCTCTCTCTCACTCTCTTTTTTCTTTTATAAAATTCGTTGCGAAACTTTCGATCACAAGAATACCATTTCTTTCGAGCCAGAATTTGCAAAACTTGTAACACACACTCGCTGCCTTGCGTTTAACCTTTTCAATAAGCCTGTAACGTGTTGAGTCAGATCAACATAGTTTGGCGAAACTTGGGGGGAAATTATAAAAGTTTCGAAAGCTATCGTAAGCTAAAGAAAACTTGTGACAGAATAAAGAGCCACTTTATTCAAGAATTTATTTAAGAATAAATGTTATTTAAGAAATAATATTATAATTTTATATAATATAAATTTATTTAAGAATAAATATCATTTAAAAAATATATAATATAATATAATATAATTTTATATAATATAAATTTATTTAAGAATAAATATCATTTAAAAAATAATATTATAACTTTGTATAATATAAATTTATTTAAAAATAAATATCATGTAAAAAATAATATTATAACTTTATATGATATAAATTTATTTATGAATAAATATCATTTAAAAAATCAAATTAACTTTACATGATATAAATTTATTTAAGAATAAATATCATTTAAAAAATAATATTATAATATAAATTTAAGAATAAACATTATTTCAAAAATAATATTATAACTTTATATAAATTTATTTAAAAAACAATATTATAACTTTGTATAATATAAATTTATTTAAGAATAATTCATCATTTGAACAATAACATTAAAATTTTACATAATATAAATTTATTTAAGAATAAGTTAAGGACAAACAAATAATTATTCTACAACATTACAAAAAATGTGCTTAGCAAAGATCAGACTCATCGATACGTCGATTATTCGGCAGCTGAAATGATTAAACTTTTCGAACGAAACCAAATCCCTGTTCTTCGTGATCATTTGACCAATGTATCCGTCGTCTCTGTTTCCAGCGATACGTGGAGAACGTAAAGCAGGACGCCAGTATCGGAACGAACATTCTCCGAGTGTCGGCATCGGACGAGGATGCCGACAATAACGGCGCGATAACGTACTCGTTGAGCTCCCCTAACAATGACCAAGGGCTGGAGTACTTTGAGATTCAACCAGAGTCTGGTTGGATCGTCTTAAAGAAGCCCCTTGACGTGAGTATTCTCATTGACGATCATTTACGTATACGACTCTCTCTCTAGCAGTTAACAACGAGCGATCTACTTCTACCCGGAGGGCCTCCCGTGCGTTCTCGAGCAAGCAACGTGTGTGTTCCGGTTTCTTCTTCAACGCATCGCGCGACACGCTTTGCCGTCATCCATCCGTGAATTGAAACGAAGTTGAAACGTCGCTTGATTGTATCTTCAAACGACGTCGTTGCGCGAAAAAAATGTCGAACGAAGCTGTGTGTGTTTGAAAGGAAGAACTGCTCCGACAAGCCGAGAATGCACGTGACGTTCTCCGAAATTATTAATTACCATTACGCCCAAATTTACAACGTATGTACACGCACGCGTATAATGTATACGCGTGTGTGTACATGTCGAAGAAGTATATATATATATATTTATATCTATATTTATACTGTGAATATGAATACAAAGTTGAGTGTACACCTTCTGCCGATATATATATTTCTATATTGTATACGTTTACGTTTGACTTACGTTGATTCTTTAACACGAATCCGTTTTGTTGCGTTGATATATCGGACAAACTTGTTATATCTGATATATATACGTTTTGGTCGGCAAATTATTTCTCTGATTATATATCACTGACATATGCAACGAAATGAGTTTCCTTTTTACGGCACATGTATAGAACTTTTTAATTCCCATTGATATGCACAATGTGTTCACTATGGTAAATACTTAGCTACTGCCTGATTTCCTTCAAACGCTTCATGTACCTGAATCGATCGACCGTTCGGGCTATTTTTGCAACAGAACACTCTCTCTCTGTCTCTCTCATTCTTTCTATCGAGTACATGCTCGCGGCGCGAGTACCTTTTTTTTTTTTAAAAAAAAAAAAAGAAAGAAAGAAAAAAACAAATCGTTCCAGTCGAAATCTCTCATTTCGAACACACCTCTTGTCTCCAAGTTTTGTTCACCGTCCCGCGTTTCGGCCGCCGACGAATCGTCGTTCTCTTTTTCTTTTTTTTTTTTTTTTCTTTTTTTTATCCTTTTGTTTCGCATACACACAGACATATATATATATATATATATATATATATATATATATATGTATCATTTTTTCTTTCTTTTCGTTTTTCCTTTCGACTCACTTCCGTTCCGATCTGTTTCTTTTTTTCTGTTGTTCGTCCCACGTCGACGAGGAGAAGAAAAAAAAAGTACACATTTCCCGTCGTTTTGATTTTTCCGTTCTTTTCGCCATCATTTTCGATTTTCCTTTCTTTCCTTCGTGTATTTTTTTTTTCTTTTTTTTGTTGTTGTTGTTGTTCTCTCCCCTTAATTTCTTTTGTTTCTCGTTTGCGGTCGATTTTCGACGTATTCGTTGCGAAGAGAAAAGAAAAAAAAAAAAAAAAAGAAAAAAGAGTCGCGTCGCGGTACCGTGACATAAACGAGCGTGTGCACATTTCATTATCCAACCTTAGCCAAAAGGAGGAGGACTGTTTTTTTCCCCCCCCGCCGCCCCGCCACCTCCAAGCCACACGGTGGTACTGGTTTTTTTTTTCCTTTTTGTTCTCTGTCTCTGTTTCTTTTTTTTTTTTTTTTTTTTTATTTTTTTTTTCTCGACGAACTTTCTTAAAATTTGAAATTTTAAGAAATTTTCTCATTCGATTGTTATTAATTGGCTCTACTAACTTTTCAAGTTGTAGATGTATAATAGTTGAAGAGAAAAAATATATTCACGAATATTTTTATTATTTTTCATCATCGTCATCCACAATTGTTGTTGCATTTCTACGCGTGAAATTTTTCCCTTTGACATACGAAAATTGAAAGTAGAAATATACTTATCGACTCGAATTTCTATTCCTTATCACATTATTGCAGACATTGTTTTGAATATTTTACGTTTCTTAATGAAATCAAATACAAATGACAACTTGTGATAATTATTACTCAACGATTGCGTTAAAATTTCTCTACCATTTACCATTGAAAAATAATTAATTCACTTGTTCGAGAACAACTCAGTGTTTCCTCTGAAATCTTAGCTTTTAGTTCAGAATCATTGCATCTATAAATTACCCTATAAATGCGTCCTAATTACACTAATTACACTAAATCTCTCCTCCCTCCCGCATACTGGTTCACTCGTTCAACCTAAAAATTCAAAACATTCAAGACGAAATCACATAAAGATCTGTCAAAAAAACGAGTTACTCGCTTCGGCTACATTCTACCAGATCTTCGAGCGCTAATTCCCAAGGATTCCTCGGATTACACCTCAATTTTACCAAACGTAAATTTACCCCGACAGCGTTTATATTCTCTTATCTGTTCACGCTCTCCCGCGGTTCGATAAACTCCACGAAATTCCGTAATATCCGTTTATACATCCGACGATTTTATTTCGCCTCGCTCGGGCTCCACGATATCGAAGTTTTTTCATCCGTGGGTCTCTCGTTTAAAAATAAATAACGCCGATTGCACGCTGATCCGTGGATCGAATAATTAGACACGCTCGCAATCGCTGACCGAGCATTGGAAATTCGCATTCGCATCGGTGTCTGAGATGCTCCTATCGTCCGAAGTATGGTTACAATCGTGCTTATCAATTCACCTGGAACGAGAGTACTCTGTCAACCATGGCGAACAGGCAGAAAGATCGGCCGAGAATTTAATATCATCCGTTTCCTTTTGAATCATAGATTATACGAGTGAAAAGTAGTAGAGTGAAATGAGCAATTACTGTCGTCTAATGAGGAATAATGTCAACCAAAAAAGTTACAATATTTTTGTCGATTTCTACGTTGAATAACGTTTTAGTGTATTGAATGCAATAATTTATGCAACGTATAATGATCATCATCGACCAAAATTTGACACTAACATTTATCGCTAACATAGTTAATAATTATTATATAAGTATAATTATTATAATATATTATTAATAACTATTATATTATAATTAATATTATCAACTATTACATAATAATTATTATATAATAGTTAATAATATAATAAATATAATAGTAATATAATAGTTAATAATATTAATAAATATAATAGTAATATAATAGTTAATAATATTAATAAATATTAATATTAATGTACAATACTAATATTTATGTTAAATATACTAACATTTATTAAATAGACAAATATGTCAATATTTGTATTAGATATTAAACGAAATTTATGGTTTAAGGGGTTATTTTAAAAGGGGACGTTCGATCAGTTCGAAGACTGAAGGTGAGTTATTTAATTGTGAAAAATTTTTCTCGGTAAACTTAGAAACGTTTAAATTTAGAAAAGAAGAGAATCTTCAATTTTCTATTTGTAATATTGTAAAAATATCTTTGAAATGAATCAGTTTAGTGCTGTAAAATGAAATCAAACAGATCGTTATATAACTTTTATACAAAGTTATAACAATTTGAAATGTCGACAATTTTCCATCGACTCTATGAGCACTTTTTTGTAACTAAATGCTTAAATTATAAATTTATTATTATAATTTCATGTTATATTTTATATATATTATTTATACTGTATATTATATATTATACTTTACATTATGTGCATTACACAAATATATTACTCAATGATAAATTTATTATTATAATTTTGTATTATATATATATATATCGTATATTAAAGTCCATTAATTCGTTTTCTAATTAATTCATACAACCAAAATTCCACTGTAATTCCCCAAAGTTACTATTTCTTTCGCGACGTTGCAATTAATTCACAGTACAATAGTTTCTGACTGACTGTATACGCAAATTATAAATTTATCAAATTTATTAATACAGGGGATTACACGTTACACAAGGCATCACTCATGCATCACTCAAAACCCATTCACCTATCAGCCTGTTAATTCCCACAATCACGATCCCCCTGCTGTACTTATTGAAAATTATTTCAAACAAACGTTTCGCAACGCAGAGCGAACGGGGAGGGGCGAACATCCAGCTGGCAATATCTCAAAGCTAATAATCACTCGGCCGTGTACCGTAAAAAAGAATTTCAAATCGTGCGGGGCAAAACGCTCGCTGTTGCACAAATTACACGTTTTACTACTCCCTGAAGAATTCGTTACACCGTGTTGGCGACTAGAACAGCGTTGAGGACGCGCCGTACTACGCGCGAGAGAATCACGATCGAGATATCGCGGCGGTGATTCGCAATTTATAGTCGATATAAAAGCCGCGGACCGATCGTACAAATACGCCGCGCGCCGTATCGCGGTATATCAACTTTTTCCATCGTTTTTCCACGATCTCTGCAATCAGGCGTTAGTTACGACCGCGTGGATGCTGTTTCACTGCCGTCCTTTCAGAAAAACCAATCAGACATCGTTAAGGCGCGAGGATTGTGCAATCGAGTGTTAGAGAACACCTTGCTCCACATTCGAGAAGCTCTTTGCACCGTGAAATTTACTTGCGTCTACACTTTTAGGCGCTGCATCCTCAGACGAAAGAATCTCCGTAATTTTTTTGTCAGCCGATTTATAAATTTCGCAGAATTTCTTTTTCTAAAATACGGCGTCTGACTTTGTTTAAAATACATATATAATATGTATGTATGATTTCTGGAATTTTGATTCGATTAATTCTTTCTGAGATTGCTGTGCGTCTGTTGCAAATTGTTCAAATGAACCTCGGAAATTTCTGGAGATGCTGCTTTTAAAACCAAGTAGTTTCATGATGTATCTCAAAATGAAGTACAGTTTCAAAATTATAGCATTTCTGTTGTAGAATTACAAACTCCTAGATATGCAACCACTAGCATCAAGTAGGTGATTAATTCTTCCTACAATTATTGTATTTCGTTATCAGTCCGCGATCAGTTGCCAGCGCAAGTGGTTAATTTGCCGTCAGCATCATTTTCGAGGAATTCACAGTATGTACGTACGAACTCACTTCGTAATCATCCGCCAAATTCCCATTCACCATTGCCAATTTCCCTGAAACCAAATACCAAAACCTACGGCGTGTATTCTCGTATCAATGAGCGACCACTCGCCGATGAATAAATAATAAATAAACGTTAGCGTATAACGTGACAAGGTAGAAGAGGAGACCGTGGCCATCGCCGTCGCGTTTAATAAACGAATCATTGCTTTCGCCGTGTCGTAAATCGAATAATACGCCGACGATTGAGGAAAGTTTAGAAATAAATTCACGGCCACGTCGCCGATGAGTATTTCGGTAAATGTCGCGTCTCGCGCCGTCCGCGGCGAGTAAGATTTACGGGGCTGACGCAGTCCATAAAGCTTCCAGTTTATGGTGTATCCAGGAACGAATGACCGGTGAATGGGGAGACGACGAAACGCCGTTAGCCGAGCGGACGGGGCGTGAATTGTTGGTGGATAGTCATGTTAAAAGTTTCGCGCGCGCGATGTGTCAGGCCGATGTTTATTGCGGTTTCAATGCTCGTTCGCTGTTTGATTTGCCGCGAAAAAATCGGCTCGGGCGCGTCGTTTATTACGCCGTGCGATCCGAGAGGCTGGGCTGGGCTCGGTTTTCAAATAAATAAATCGCGACGGAGAAGAATGATATTAATAACGCGTAATTAATTGTCGGTATGGTGATTCGGCTCGCTGAAATTTAATTCACTTTTTTCCCTGAGTAACTAGGAATTACTGCAGATTGACAAGTAAGTTAACTGCAGTTGGGCTAGTAGGTAGTTTTAATGAATTGAAAATAAAGTAAGAAACAGACACGAGATTTATTCGACGAATTGTTGGAAAAATTATTCCACTGAGACAAATAAAATGAAAGATTATTTTACAGGAAAATTATTTATTTCTTCGAATAAACTGACGCGACAATTTCGAATAAAGTAAACTATACTATACTATGAATAAAGTAAACTATACTATACTATACTATGAATAAAGTAAACTATACTATATTATAGAATTGCTTTAGTTTTCAAATAAAATATTTATAAAATTCGTACAACCATAATTATATATAAATTTCGTAAATTTCGTAAGTTTTA